ACCGAGCGCGTCGAGACCGTGTCCTGATGTGATCTGCACGGGTGAGTCACGTCGGCGTCAAAGGAGCGACGTGCGACCTGTCAGAGCTTGAATCTCCGATCTCAGCGGCGTCGAGTCATCTCCGGCGCGCGACAAAGGTACATCCCCAGGACGCGCAGAGGCACCGAGATGTACCTTTTTGCGCAAATGGTCAAATCAAGGTTTTGTAACGCGAGCTGTGCCACAGTGAAATGGAACTAGCCTACGGCCTACTCTATCACCGTTGCGGTGGGTGCTCGTAAATCCGCTCGCAAAACTTGAGAGCGCCCACTGCCACGTCGGGAGGGCAAGGCGCACATGCTCAACCCGCCAGGCCGCTGGAGCTACTTTATATCGCACACGCAGCGGAGCGGTCGCGCGACGACGATCGCAGAGCGGGGAGGGCGCTGGAAGCAACACGGAGCCAGTCTGCACGGAGCACGCCGTTGGAGACGTAACAAGATTAGCGTGTCAGAGTGAAATGGCACTAGCCCCTCTCCCCCGAGGTGTTGATACGCATTCTTTTATATTACGTCACCAAAATATACAAAAATCGCGCGCCGCTCAAGGTATTACACCACCTCATCGGGCGCGAACTCCCGCTGGAGATAATCCTTCAGAACATCCCGCGCCGCGACCACCTCCTGCATCCGCTTGGTCGCGTCCGCCGCGTCGCAGCGATCCGGATGCAGCTTCCTGGCCTGGTCCTTGTACGCTCGGTCCACCTGCGCCTCGCTCAGAGCGGTGGGCGGCGGGGGTAGCCCCAGCACATCGCGGGCCGTGGCCAGCGCCTCCTCGGCATGCTCCTCGGCGTCATTCGCCGCGCGCTGCTGGTGGGAGCTGCGGTACTCATGAAACGCGCCTTCGGCGCTCCACTCGTACCGGTCGCGAGGGTGGGCATGGTTGGCAGCGCCCGCAGCAGCCGCACCCTGCCCGCCCGCCCCGCCCTGTCCCTCCGGCCATAGCGTGGTGGCGAGGGCGTCGCGAAGAGAGAAGCCCTCCGGCTTGGGCTGCGGCGTGGCATCGCGCAGGAAAATGAGGGTCTGCTCGGCGCGCGTGTACGCCACGTATTGCACGTTGAGCTCCTGCCGCGCCTGCCAGCCGCCCTGCTCGAGCGCAAATTCAAACGGGATCCTATCGCATGCGTCGCGAACACGGTCGGGGAGGGTGCTGGCGGAGCCTGTGGAGTTTTGGTATCGGGCATGGCTCGGGCGTGCTCGGCTCACTCGGACGGCTCGAGCAAGTAGACGACGGGCCAGCCAAGGCCCTTTGCCTTGTGCACAGTCGCGAGCTCCACCGGAGGCCGCACCTGCGCTCACGGGTCAGGCCGTGCGGTGTGCGTGCGTGTGCGGCCGCGGTGGGCGCTCCAAACGCGCAAACGGTGATTAGGCTCGCGCGCTCGGTCTCGCAGCACGCCTGCTGACTCGGCAGGACGTACTCGCCGCCCGCGGCCCCAAAGTTGAGGTGCACCGCCTCGCGCAACGCCTTGAGCCTCGCCGCCTCGTGGCTGCTGTCCTCCCGCACGCGGCCGATGAGCAGCCGGATGCACTCGGCAAGGTCGCTCAGAGCGTACTCGACGCCGCGACCCTCCTCCGCAGCCACCTGCAGCCGAGATCGGTCAGAGATCTCGCACACTACCTCGTCCTGCCAAAGACAGCTCGGCCGTCCATCGGTTATCTCTAAGCCATGTCTCTCAGACTGTCTTGGCTACGTCTCGCCTCCTCTTCGCGCCGCACGTGGCTGTGCAGCGCCGACTCGACCTCGTCCAAGCTCTCCATCTGGTCGATGCCGCGCCTAGCTCGTTAGCTTCATTCGTTATAATTGGCCATTGAGTTTCGCCCTCTCCGCCCGGTCGATGGCGCCCGTCGTAGGAAAGCTTCTTGAGCAGCCCGTCGATTTTGGCAGCGAGAGGCTTTCGGCCTAGCATGCGGCTCGCGACGCCCTTCGCAGCGAGCAGGAATAGCAACGCAAGTAGAGGCGCGTTGCGGCGGGCGAGGATCGCCCGCTCCGCCCGCAGCGACACGCCGCCCGCCGCGCCGCCGCCAGCCACGTCGCCTTCTTTTTTGGCGGCGGCCAGTGCCGTACTGGCGAAAGTGTAGTCTCCCGGCAGCGGGTGGCTGGCGAAAGTGCATCCGTCCTCTCCTGCGCGGTCCTTCCTACAGATCTCGCCGCGCCCCTTGCCGCGCATCGGCCGCATCTTCTCGCCCGTGCCTAGAGCGAGTGGCGTGGCTCACTGAGTCGTGAGCCGCACATTTACCGCCTGTCCTCGCCCGCGCCGTTGGTGGCGTTGTCGATGACGGTGTTGGCGAGCTTGATGTGGCTTTCCGGGCAGCGGCGGCAGATGGGGAGGCTGTACACCTTGCAGTCAAAAGTCTCGAAGAGCGTCTCGAGCGCGTCTTCCATCGCAAAGGCCCACCCGTACAACGCCTGCATGAATGATCAAACTAGAGAGATCAGTGGCGCCTAAAGGATGAATCTATTCAGTAGTACAATCCTGCATGTCGTCCCCGACGACGAAGATGCGGCATCCCGATTCGGCCACTAGCCGCTGCAACATCAGCTGCCGGATGCGGGAGTTGTCCTGCGTCTCGTCAGCCAAGACCCACCGCAGCGGCCCGTCCAGCCGACGCAAGTGCCCCAAGCGACGCGGCGGCCCAGGGTCGAGCGACAGCCCCTGCCGCACGGGCATGTGCAACAAGTCGTCGAAATCGAGGACCGGCAGCGGCTTGGCCTTCTTCCCGCTGCCAAGCTCGCACACAACCTATGGACCAAGATGCGGCCGAGATGCGGACATGCGATTGAGCAAAGACGCACCAGCTCGCAATCACCTCTCCGGGCAGCGCCTCCCACGCCGAGTTCAGCGCGCAGTGGATGCTCGCGCCGAAACACTTGCGCGCCATGCTCAGGCCCGCCTCAAGCCGCGACACTGCAGTGGGCCACCTCGCATTCGCCTGCGCCGTGCGCGTCTTGGAGAGCCTCTTCTTGAGGACCAGCTCGATGCCCTGGCCGAGAGGAAGGGCGGCGGGTCGTGAGGACAAGCGAGCGAAGAAGTGAAGTGAGATAGCAGTGACAAGAGGTAGCAGCGAGGTGAGAGGCGGCGGTGGGTGAGGCCTCGCGCCTCGTCGAGCTTGTGGCGATCGCACAAGCTGGCCCACGTCTCGCTGCTGTCCGGGCGACCGCCCTCGATGCCCACCGCCTCCATCTTGGCCAGCGAGACCATCTTCACAACGAAGGACTCGAAGAGATGCACCTCGAGCGACAGCGAGGAGCGCGACGTGTCTTCCGCCGGCTTCGGGTACATCAGCCGCAGCAGCATCTTTGACTTGTTTGGCACGTACGCATTCTGCACAGGCGCCTGCGGTGGGCAAGGCGAGCGTCTCCGCACAGTGCGGCACAGGGCGCGTGGGGTGTATGCGCGCGCCTCGTCTGCAGCGCAGTCATCGGCGTCAGCCGCCGCCTCCTCGGCGGCCTCCTCCTGCTCCTCGGCCGTCGCGGCCAGGGTGGACTTCCGGTGCGCTTTGTACCACGCCTTAGCACCAAGTGAGTGAAAAGTGCGCGCCTCCGGCATGTCGCGCTCCTCCAGCTCCCGTCTCGCGTCGCAGTTCAGCGTCAGCGCGAGGAGCCGCATGTTGCGATCGCGCACGTGCTTCGCCGTAACGGCAATGCAGTGTGTTTTCCCGGAGCCCGCCCTGGCGCGAACGCCGATGTTGCGGCCCGTGTTATCGACGCATGCGATGATGGGCGCTATATGGTCCTTCTCCGCCTCCGGCTCAGGATAGGGGACTGACGCTGCCGCCGCTGCTGCCGCTGCCCCTGCTGCCGCCTCGAGCCTCCACTTCTCATCTTGCAGCTGCTTCATTCGGTGAAGTGCACAGCGGACATGCACGGGTTGCAGACCTGCGACTCCAGCAAGGTCGGCATAGCAGCAGTGCATCTCCAGCACAGAGCCGCGGCAGATCTCGCAGTCTCCCGGTCGTTGCGCCGTGAATATTTTGGACTTGATCGGGCAGTCTTTAGCGAAGTGGCCCGGCTGTTTGCAGCGGTGACAGTCCCCCCACTTGTCTGCGAGACTCTGAGGCAGGCACTCACCGCTGCGGCCTGGCGTCGCCACGCTCTGCTGCGAGAGGCTGCAGCTCTGCTGCGAGAGGCTGCAGCTCTGCTGCGAGAGGCTGCAGCTCTGCTGCGAGAGGCTGCGAGACGGCGTCAACGCGTCGACGCTCCCTTGGCTCTGAGCGCCGCTATCTTGACTCGAGCCAGCACCTGGGCTGCTATTGGGCACCGCCACCCGCGCACGTTTGGGACTCGACTCCATGCCAGTCGAGAGCGTGGAAAAAGAATTTAACAAAGCCACTCTCTCTCACAGCACACAGGCTCGACACAGGTGCGAACTGGCGCGTGCTAGTACTATCACCGGCACACCACCGGAGCCGCCTAAGCGACTCCGTTAAGAACGGCAATGCACTTAGCTCCGTGCACAATGCCGCTGCGTGGAAAAAGAATTGAGAGCGCTATGGCGCGCGCCGACCGCGACTGATTCTGTTCTTAGCTTCAAGCCCCCCGCCCCCCGCCCCCCCCCCCTCCCCCCCTTGCGAGACTAGAGACAGAACCTCCGAGCGCGGCTGAGTTGCGCTCGGCGACCTGGGGCATGGGGCGGGGGCGGGGTTCGTTCGCGGGGAGGACGGCCGCAACTATCGATCGCGTACTCTAGACGTAAGCGACGACGTCGTTCCGCACTCCCGCTTATCAGAGAGCCCGGGGGCGGCGTGGTCAGTTGTGTGGGTGGTGCTTCTTTCGAGGAGTCGCCTACTACTGCTACCGCTTTGCCAGTTACGTGTGCCTGTCTCGACGACAGCGTGCCCGGCCAGCCTCGCCGTCGCGTCCAAGCGCAGCCGCTCCGCCGCGCCTCCTGCGTCTCCGCGGGCTGCCGCAGCACATAGTGTCGGCCGTACTCCGCCACGCCCGCGAGGACGTCAGCCGCTCACCGTCTCGACCGCCGCCTCGATTTGGCGGAGGGGCTCGACCCGTCGTTCCGTGACCTACCGCGCCAGCGAGGGCTCCTGGTGCGCCGCCCGTCGGTCGACGCCCTCGCCCCTGCGCTCCACCAACGACGCCGTCGCTGTCCTCGCCGACGTGACCGTGATCCGAGGCCCCATGTCCAGACCGCAGACGCCATTGGATGCAGCCGAGATGCAAAATCCAGAACCGCCGTTTTTTATGACCAATACGAGCCGTCCCCCCCTGACCCCCCCCTGACCCCTCCTGGACGCGTCCACCCTCCGTCCAATCGAGCCGATCCCTCTTTTACATACACAAACGTCGGCCGCCGAATTTCAAGCGCCGTTTTTCGACCTCACGCCGCGGACCTCTGCTCGAAGCCGCGGACCTCCGCCCTGTCGGTGCAGCGCAGCCATGTCAATCATGTCGTTCCTCCTGCTAGAGACGCTCTCGTTTGCTCCCGTCGCGCAGCCCTCGAAGCCGAACATCCTTGTCTTCCTCGTCGATGACTTTGGCTGGGCGAACACAGCGACAGTGCGCACGGATCATGTGCGCCCGCCGGCAGCAGTTCAAGGACTCAGACCAGAAGCGCAGCCAACCCATCTTGCGATGTCGCGGCGGAGCGGGCGGGGCAGGTGTCGGCTCCAAGCGCGCACAGCTCAGCGTAAGGGGGAAAAAGCGGGACGACGACCCGATGGGGACGCACGCACAACGTCGCAAGGTTGACCAAAGCCTCGCAGCGCGAAATTCTTTTTTCTCCCCCTTTAAAGAAAGAAAGAAAGAAAACAGACAACCCAAGGGAGGGATGGGAGGATCGGGGTGTGTCCCGCAAAATTTCTTTTTTCTGGCGCCAAAGATGAGGCTGAGGTCGGTGTTCGGCGTCGGCTCGCCCTCGTGCAGGCTTGTGCCGCTGCGCACGAGCGCGACCGCTGCATTTTCACCGCAGAGACTCGTGCCGGTGCGCCACAGTGGCTCGCTAAGCACGCAGGGCGGGGAGAGAAGTGAGCAGGCGCGGCCCGAGGACTTTGACACGCGTCAGCTCTACAAGGATTGCATCCGGCTCAGCCACCACATCGCGGCGAGGGTGAGGACGCCCCTGCGCGCTCCTCCCACGCCCCACGCCTCACAGCACCCGCCCTGATTCACCGCTCTGCGCCGCCGCGCCCCGTCCGCCTGCAGAGCCCGAAGGGCGAGGCGATGCGTTCGATGATCCGGCAGCAGTTCAAGTCAAACATGGGCGAGACCGACCCGACCAAGATCAACGAGCTGAAGATGCGCGCCATCTCGGGGATCCAAAACTACGTGATCCACGAGAACACCCGCAAGGCGCTCTCTAAAAAGGGGAAGGAATACGCCTCCTCCTTTGACGCAGGTAGTGGCGGTGGCAGCAGCGGCAGCAGCGGCAGCAGCGGCAGCAGCAGTGGCGCGTCGTGATGGCAGTATACGACGGTTGCGCGACGAATGTGCCCGGCGGTGCCTTGCCTCGAACGCGTCGAAGCCGCTCCCCGCGGCTCTTCCCTCCGACTCATGCCAACACCCTTTTTTTAAATAAATAAAAACGGACACACCTCTCTACTATAAGATGGGTAAAAAGGAACAGGCCCCCGCCCTTGGCCAGTCGTGTCGAGCTCATTTCACCCACCCTCAAATAAAATGAACTGCACGGACATGGCACAAACGCCAGGCTACAGACATGTCTCTCTCTCAGACATGGGGAGGCACGTTTAACGCAAGGCCAAGGGAGTCTGGGCGACAGCGGCGTCTTCCGAGACGCCACGGCGAGCCAGTCGATCTCCATCCGCCGCCGTGAGCTGCACCGGTGTGGACCTGCGGCGTGCAGCGCGACTGCCGACTGACATATGCGCTGGGCCTGCAGCGACAGCCACTACGCCTCTCTTGTTGCTTATGTGAAATGTCTGAGCTTGTGCGTCTTGGGTGCGTGGTTGTGTTTTCGTAAATGTTCGCAGCGATTTAACTTACGATCGTCCACAGCCTGCCCATCCGATACCACTGTTGCTCGGGGAAGCTCGCGCGCAAGCACGCCCCACCCTCTGCCTGCCGCAGCCCTACATAGAGCCCTACACGTGCTCGGCGTTCGACCGTGCCGTCGCCGCGTTGCCTCCGTGCGTCATTGAATGCCGCAGCCCTTCGAGCGAGACTTGCTCGGCGAGCAGCTCGACGCGGCCAGAGACGGCATCCCTGCAAGCGTATCGCAGCGCCTCCTCCTCAATCTTCCAGAGGCATCGCTCGACGTGGCACTGGCTGCCACTATCGAGGCGAAGGCGTCCACCAAAGTCAATATTTGGCAGGGCCTGTTCGCGCGCTCGGCGGCCAACGCCGCCTCACAGCCGACGGCTGGCGCGCCGGCGCCAACGCCGGAAGTTGTGGCCACGGCGGCGGCTGCAACTAGGCTGCAGGCGATTGAGCGTGGCCATCTGCTCAGGCGGCATCAGGCGGAGCAGGCCAACGCGGCCGCCAAGATTGAGGCCGCTGCGCGCGAGCGGATAGGAAGAAGAGGACGAAACCAAGCAGCACCGCCACCGAGAACAACTGCTGCTGTGGATTTGCCAGACCCTGATGTGGCGCCCCAGTCTTTGGATTCGGCGGCGCCGGACGTTGTGCCCATGAAGGCGTCGTTGCTGCACCACAGGAGGGTCCCGTTCAAGGGGATGGTGGTGGCATGGTACCTTTTGCTGGGCGGCCTCGGCGGCCTCCTCCTCTACGCGATCGAGTCGAAACAGTCGGGCCTCGGCCTCGCTGACGCCATCTTCCTCGCCGTCTCCGCGTCGACGTGCACCGGCCTCGCGACTTTCAACATCACCGCCTTTGGCGACGCCGCCAAGGCGCTGCTCGGGCTTCTGATGGTGGCCGGCTCGTCGATCCTCATCTCGGCGGTGCCGCTGCACCTGCGCCACGCGGCACTGCGACGGAACGTGCCAGAGGGGCTGAGGCACGTCGCGCTCAAGGATCTGCGCCGCTGCCCAGAGTGGCTGGTCGAGCTCAACTCGATGCGGCTCCTCCTGTACGCCATCTACATCTACCAGGCAGCCCTCCTCCTCGGCGGCTTCTGCTTCATCTACGTGTCGGTGCTCGCCACGCCCGTCGAGGAGAGGGGCGTGTGCGACTACCCAAGCTACTCGACGGCGAGTACGGCAGGCCAGCCACCCTCAAACGTCACCGGGCTGCCGTGCCGGCCCGGCCGCTTCGCCGCGTTTGTGTCTGTCGCCGCCTTTGCGAACGCGGGCATGACCAGCGAGCCCGGCTCACTCGAGGCCTTCAACGAGGAGATTGGCCTGCTCTCTGTTGTCACCGTGCTCGCCCTTGCAGGTAATGTGCTCTACCCGGTCTTGCTTCGGCTCTCTCTCCAGGCTTACCTTCAGTGTATCCCGATCGACGACGCGAGGCGCCTGTGGGCGCGCCACCTCCTCCTCTCCGGCCGCAAGATGTATGGTTACCTCTTCTCGACCGAGCAAACCACAACCCTCTTCCTCACGCAACTGGCCGTCTGGGCCGCGCAAACCTTCACCACCTGGTCGTTCTTTGTCCGTGAGGCGCACCGTGGCATGATCCGCGTCTACGGGTCCAGGCTCGGCGGCGTCTCAAAGATCCTCTCCGACCTCGCCGCGTGCGACGCCGACGTGCAGTGCTTCCGAACAATGGAGGAGCGGCTCGCGCTGCCCGACGATATGTTCATGTCGGTCGAGACGCGCCACGCTGGCTTCGCAATCTATTCGCTCGCCAACGAGAACACGCCCGTGCTCGCGATGTACATGCTTGCAATGATGATGGCGCCCGTCCCGCTCATGATCGCCGTCCACGCATCCTCGCGCCACGGAGCCGCTCTCGAGAGCCCCCTACACGACGGCCCCCACACGGCGGCCCCCACCGCTCTCGGTGTCGGCGGGCGGAAGAGCGTGTCTATCGCAGAGCACTGGGCGCGCCGGCACTCAATCGTCCGCACAACCGGGACCGGTGCAGCGCGAGCGGCGCTCTCGCGGTCACGGATCCGGATGGCGGAGCAGATCGACGAACTCTCCCTCGCCCTCGCGCGGATTCCGTCGGTCGACCCGCGGGTATCGGCCGAATCGCGGACGTCAGAGGCCTCGGTCGCCGATCTGGGCGTGCTCCAGCTTCAAGCGATGTTGTGGCACGGCGAACTGACGTGGGGGCAGACGCTTCGCCACCACCTTACCGCGTTCTCGCACGCCGTCGGGGGGTTTGTTGGCGGTCCCACCCTGCAGCGCGACCTGCTTTTTGCCTGGCTGGCGTGGTTCCTGGTTCTCGCCTTCGACCCGGATTTGCCGCACGGGTCGAACGGCGCTGCTTTCGACGCGCTCTTCGAGGTGTGCTCCGCCTTTGGCAACGTTGGCCTGTCGATGGGCTACTCACGCGACACCGAGCTCGAGAACGTCCGTCCGGGCACGCCGCAGACCTTTGTCGACTCGCTGCCGCGGGGCGAGACGGGCCTCTCATACTGCGCCTGCTGGCCGAACCTCTCCAAGGCGGTGCTGGTGGCGGTGATGATTTATGGCAGGACGAGAGCGCTGCCGCAGCAAGTCGACTACGCCCTCACGCTCGCCATCGAGATCCCGTCTTCGGACATGTCGCCACCGCCAAGCCGTCTCCTCAGATGTGCACGGAGGGAAGGCTTCACGCGCCACAATGGTGTGCGCATAGGTCGCCCGTCGAGCTGCTCCTCAGCCCGGGCGGGGAGCGCGACAGCGACGAGCGCGACTCGACGCGCGCGCGCGGCTCCTGGCTCTTCTCGCAGGCCGACTTGCGCGGCTTGGCTCGGCGGCTGACTGGCAGCACGCCCGCCCACCACCCGGGCGCCGTGCCACAGCGCGACGGCGTGAGTTCGGGCAACGAGTCTACGGACGAAGCTGGAACGCTCGGCGACCTGCTTGATGCTAGGGCTCCGGACGACGAGGGCGCGTCGGGGTCGCATGCGAGACCGGAACAGCGGGCGAACAAGGTGCTGGTGTGATGCTGTGCACGTTGCGCGCGGGAAGGTCGCGTGCAGGGTGTTGCGAGATCGTTGCGACTACTCGCGTATCAAGGGGTGTTCCTAAATCGCCTCGGAAACGAGAGAGAGAGATTTTTAGAGCAACGATACCAAACAACTCTACGAACACATCATTTTTGGGGCCTGGAGCCCTGTTCACGCGCGCGCTTTTGTCGGAAACGCGCGCGGAGAGGGAGTAGAGGCAGCACGGTGGTATAACACGCGTGGCTCGCAACCTCCCTCCCGCGCCATAAATAGGAAATGGGCGACGCACGAACCCCGAGGCACAGCGGAGAGCGCGCCGTTTTTTTTTTCACAAAAGTCGGCGCCTCACTTGCGCTCGCGCAAAGGCTGTCCGTCGTCCCTCCGGCTGAGGTGTCGAGTAAAGCCATGAAAGTGCACACTTCGGGGACGTACGACGCTGCCGTCGCCGTCAATCACGCAGTACACGGTGCTAGCCTACTGATTTGGGGCCCATCGGCAGGCCGCAGGCCTCACCGGTGCACGCATCCCGCCGAAGAAGCAAATTGCTCAGATGCAGCTGCCGCCAGTGACGCCGCCAAGAACGCCGCCGAGGTCATCCAGGGCTCCTTTCGTCGATTGTGCCGAGCGCGGCGCCGCGCAGTCGTCAAACTCCAGGACGCTTGGAGAGTCCGGCAGCGGAGCCGTCCCTCGTATCTCGCCGACACCCTTATGCAGGCCCACGCACGCAGCCACAGCAACTACACCGCGCACAATATCAGCATCTGGCGCGAGCGCGGCGGAGGCGACCTGGAGCCGGTCCTCGCGAGCGGCGCTATGGCCCTCGTCGACGCGCAGTGGATCATCAGCCACGCCGAGGCGGGCGGTGTCGTCACGCACCGGCAGGCGCTGCCCAAAGAGGCCTTCCTCTCCCTCGCCGACCTCGTCGAGGCGAGCCGAGCCAGCCTGGGCGGGCTGCCCGTCATCGCGCTTTCTTGCCCGTGGAGGACGAAGCAACACCCCGACCCCGACGGCGCGCCCCTCCTCCGCGCCGCGGCCCTGAGGCGGATATAGTGCCTCTGTTGATCAATGATGAAGTGACACAGGCGACACGCTCCGCCGCGTTGGCTCGGGGCTCAGGGCCCTCGCCAACGACTGGTACAACCGCGGCCAGCGGTTCGGCGTCTTTTGGGACTTCCTCTCGCTGCACCAGCACCCCGACCCCGCGCACGGACGGGTGCGCACCGCCGAGGAGAACAGGCTCTTCAGGCAGGGGCTTGGCTGCCTCGGCAGGTCCTCTTTCCGGATGGAGAGGCTCAGGGCCTGCGCGGCTCTTCTTGATAACCAATCCAGTGATGACAATTACCTCCATAGGCTCTTTGCCCACCCGCACACCACCGTGCTGCGGACCGCAAGCTACCCGGAGGGGTACGACGGCAGGTCTCCCCCCCATCCCTCGCACACCACCTTGTGCGCGTAGGGGCCTTTACCTGCCCCTTGCGGCGGCAGGAAGTGGTCCGCGCAGCTCGTGCTCAGCCTGAGGGACCAGTACGAGGGCCTTCCCGGTCCGAACTTGTGGCGGTACACCGAGGCGCGCTGCTCTCGCCTGCGCTGCTGCTGCGTGGAGAGAGTGAGAGGGGGCCCGACCATGGACTAGATTACGGTTGCTCACTACTGCTACCGAGGCGTGCTGGTCGAGGCTGAGCTGCGGCTCAAAGCTCTCCCTCGACCTCGACCAGATGGGGTCACTCTGGCGACCCGTGCCGCGGCAAGCAATCCACTCGCGGCGATTGGTCATTGGCTTGATCGTAGGCGCCTGGCGGGCGACCCGGCATCACTCAGTCCGTCAGCAAGGGATCTCACAGTGATTACTCATTCGTAGGCGCCTGGCGGGCGACCCGTGGTACGACCGGTCCGCGATGATTTCCGAGTGCGCGGAGGGCGGCGACCGGTGGCCGCCGCTGCTGCCGTCGCAGTTCACGGAGCGGCTCGACGCGCGCGCATTCACTGAGGGCAAGGACGACAAGGCGCTCGTCAGCCGGCTGTACGCCGGCGCCTTTCGGGAGGAGATGCGGAGGGCCACAAGGCGCCATGCGAGCTTGCTCGTGGGGTAGGGGGCGGGGGAGGCGGCGCCTGTTCACGCGTGCAGCTGTGAGCGTACAGGCTCGGCTACGGCGGCCTCGGCTGGGGCGACGCGGAGGCGGCGCAGGTGGCGAGGGTGATCGCGAGCGGCGCGCTGCCGCGACTCGAGGCGCTGTCCTTCCTACTCAACGACGTTGGGGACGACGGGGCGAGGGCGCTGGCCGCCGCCCTCGGCAGGAAGTGGGTGGCGACCCGCCTCTCCCGCGTCGACCTCTGCGGCAATTCGATCCGCGACGGGGGCGCGAAGGCGCTGGCCGCCGCACTCGCCCATGGCGGGGCCTGTCCTTCGCTCAGGCAGGTGGTGGCAGCAGCTGCAGTAGACCATCTTGGCCTTAGACAGTGATTCTGATGGTAATTGAAACCCACTCTCTGCATCTCTTAGACCCTCGATAGACCTCCCGCCCCCGCCCTGCCCCTCTCAGCTCTACCTCGACTACAACTGCATCGGAGACAAGGGCGCCGAGGCGCTGGCCGCCGCCCTCGGCAGGGCGGGGGCGCCGCAGCTGAAGAGGCTCTGCCTGGGCAGCAACGCGATCGGCGAGGGCGGCGTGGGCGCGCTCGACGCCGCGCTCTTGCGGCGCGCGGCCATGGTCGGCGACGAGAGCATGCTCGCTCGGCGCGGCCAGACGCGCCGCTCTCTCGAGCGCAGAGCAGGGTGTGTGCGGGAGCGCCTCTGAGCCTTCCCGGAGCCGTGTGTCAATCAGGCGCGGCCAGACGCCGCTCGAGATCGACTACAGCCGCCTCACCAAGGAAGGGGCCAAGCGCCTGCTCGCTCGCCACGGGAGGTCACAGCCGCACACTCCCATACGGATGGGACACACTGCGCTGGGGGCCTAGCCACACTCTTTGGATGGCCGTGCCCCCCCTTGCCCCCCACCAGCTTGTGTAGTGTGGGCGTGGTGACGCTTGTCGTATGTCGTACCTCTTGCCTTAGGCCAGCCGACGGCCCGCCGCCCCACGACTCGCCAGTCTCGCCGACCGTCGCCCTGCAGTCTGCCGAGGTGAGCGAGTCGTCCAGCCGCCGCAAAGGCCGCCCGCGACGGGGCCTCGCCCTCCGGCTCATCTCGACGGAGCTGCGCAGCCGCAACGTGAGGGAGAGGCTCACTCTTCTGTACAGGTAGAGAGAGAGAGAGGTACTCTCTCGCACTGCGTGTAGAGCTGTAGAGCCGTGTACGGCTTTTGTAGCGACTTCTCTAGCGAGAGCCGAGCGAGATAGGACGCCGCGTCCCCTCTCTCTGACGCCTCCAAGCTCCGGATTTTTATGCATTATGGGAGCGCGTGAAAGGCAAGATAATTACAAAGGCTAGTGCCATTTCACTGTGGCACAGCTCGCGTTACAAAACCTGGATTTGACCATTTGCGCAAAAAGGTACATCTCGGTGCCTTCCAGAGGCAGCTCCAGCTGCGACCCCGCTGAGTAGACGGCGGCACACAGCAGGTGGCGCGGTGTGCCGCCGTCCACTCGGCTGGATCGCAGCTGCCTCTGCGCGTCCTGTGGATGTACCTTTGTCGCGCGCCGGAGATGACTCGACGCCGCTGAGATCGGAGATCAAGCTCTGACAGGTCGCACGTCGCTCCTTTGACGCCGACGTGACTCACCCGTGCAGATCACATCAGGACACGGTCTCGACGCGCTCGGTACGACGCCTGCGACCCGTCTCGGGTCAGGTGGCACGACGCTCGTTGCCACGACGAGGTCGAGAACGCTTCTATACGCTCGCCCAGCCCTTCCTTTCCATCCCATTAGGCAGCCTGGGAACGGTGGCGATCAGAGGCAAAGCTTACGAGGGGTGGTGGAACCACATGTCACGGCTACTGCCGGCTCGACGCGACGATAGCCTCCGAAGGCTGACTTTGCGGCACCATCATCGGACGATGTCGACGAGTTGGGTCGCTCTCGCGGTAGCCAGATGACCTCTCATACTAGGAGCATCGGCCATGGCCGCAGGGAGCGCGGGGGAGGGCGCTGGAAGCAACACGGAGCTCCGTTGGAGACGTTTTCAAGATTAGCGTGTCGAGAGTGAAATGGCACTAGCCAAAGCGGAAAGGCAACTTTTGCCACGTACGCGCGCGCACACACACAACTCTCAGTCTCTCGGGGCCACGGCCATCCGAGAGGTCCGCGGCTGCTGCGCGAGCAAGGTCTGCTTACAGTTACACAACGTCTTTCAATCGACGTCTTCAAGCACGGTAGTGCTATGGCCGGCGCTACACCAAAGCAGCGAGAGGAGAGTTCCGCGCCGTCCCCATAGGCGCCACCGCCTCCCACGCATCCAACGCCGGGTCGTACCGCTCCACCGAGCTGAGAATGCCGTCGTCGTCGTTGTAGCCGCCCATAGCGTACAGCTTGCCGTCGAGCACCACCACGGCGTGAATTTCCCGCATACTCGTCATCGGCGCCACCGCCTCCCACGCGTTCGCTGTCGGATCGTACCGCTCCACCGAGCTGAGGGGGCCGTCGTCGTCGTTGCTGCCGCTCACAGCGTACAGCTTGCCGTCGAGCACCGCCACGGCGTGAGCCTGCCGCGCCTCCGCCATCGGCGCCACCGCCTCCCACGCGTTCGTCGCGGGGTCGTACCGCTCCACCGAGCTGAGGAAGCCGTCGTCGTCGTTGTACCCGCCCACCGCGTACAGCTTGCCGTCGAGCACCACCACGGCATGATAAAACCGCGCCGCCGCCATCGGCACCACCGCCTCCCACGCATTCGCCGCTGGGTCGTACCGCTCGACTGAGCTGATGACGCCGTTGGTGTAACCTCCCACAGCGTACAGCTTGCCGTCGAGCACCGCCACGGCGTGATTCGCGCGTGGCGTCGCCATCGGCGCCACCGCCTCCCACGCATTGGCAGCCGGATTGTACCGCTCCACCAGGCTGGAAGTTGCGCTGTCAGCCACGTCATCGCCGCCCGCCGCGTAGAGCTTGCCCTCGAGCACCGCCGTGCGGACATACAGTCGTGCCGTCGGCATCGGCGCCACAGCCTCCTCCTCCCACTCATTCGTTGACGGGTCGTACCGCTCCAGCGAGTTGACAAACTCGCCCTCGCTGTCGTGGCCGCCGATCACGAGCAGGCGCGGCCTCTCGCGCTTCTTCAGCGTCTCCTTCCAGCCGCGGCGCCACGCGCGGCACGTCCCCTTGGCGGCGTGCTCCGTGGTCGGCAGCTGGGCGAGGATGTGCGGGGCGAGGTCCGGCGAGAGGAGGACCTCGGAGAGCACCCACTCGGGCTGCTCCACGAGCCGAGCGGCGTGCTCCTCCGCCACGCGCAGCGCGGCGTCGCTCGCGCCCGCCTGCGCCTCGATGATGGCGCACAGCTGCGCTGGTGAGAGGCCCGCGACGCGGGCGCCGATGCGGTGGGAGGCCATCGGCGCAGATGGAGAGAGGCAGATGGCGAGTACAGCCACGCCTCACTTTTTCACTTTATCCTTCACAGTGCTTTTCGCTGCGAGGGCTTGTGCTGCGAATGCAGGCGTGTGTCTTGATTTGCCAACAATATACCTAAAGGCGTGGTCTGTACTCACCAGGAATAGGTAGGTAGGTAGAAAGGTGAAGAACAGCCAGGCTCGGACTGGACACCAACGCGGTATGGGTGGACGCTGGACAGATGATGACGACACGCACGAGCGACACACAGACACAAACAGGCTCACAAGACACACAGCCAGCTGGCTGCCACACACAGGAGTGGCGAGTACCCTCCCTGCAACAAAAAAATTCGTTGTGCGCCCTCTTGCCGCATCCGCAATGAGCTGTGGCCTGGCTCTCGCCGCGGCGCCCTGCCGCACCGGTCTGCCGCTGGCGTCTCGCGCCGTACCCATCGTCGCTAGCCTGCAGTCCAGCGTCGGAGGCGGCTTCGTGTCCGCTGCCGTCAAAATGGGCGAGGGATTGATCGCGAAAGCGATTCGCTCCCCTCTTATTTCCGTGGCGGCGCTGCTGCTGCTCGCGGCATCCAAACGACCGTGGCGGAGAGCCTGTGCCCAGGCACGTCCATCAACGCCGCGCTGCGCCACATAGGTGCTGGCGCTGCTCAAGGAGAAGCGGGCACAGGCGGCGCTGATCGAGAGCGGAGAGGCAAGTCTAGAGGCAGTGGCTCTCAAAGGGCAAGAGGCCGCGGCGCGTGACATCTCGCGCATCCCGTGGTCTAGGCGTGCATGCTCGGCGACGAGGACAGCTGCCGCGAATACGACGAGGGCGTGCAGGCGACGCCGCGCTGGAAGCTGGAGGCCGCTCTCTCGAAGCTGCCAAACACTAACGTGCTGGGCAACAAGCTCGCAGAGTCCCCACCTCCGATGGGGTTCACGTGGGGCAAGTCCTTCTGAGCCCGGCCGGCGGAGCGACTCGCGCCGTCGCTCCGCATGCCGCGATCCGCGCGCCGAACGCGAGAGAGAGCACCGGGGCGGAGCCTCGTACCCCGATGGAACTGAACAAAAACTCTTAGTCGAGTGGGTAGGTCCAGCGATGCTAGCGCGCTTTTTTGGGGACACTGTAGTCACATGACGCGGCGCTGCACACATGCGGGGCGTTTTGGGGCGTCCGTAGACTCAATACATCGCGCAGCCGCAGGTAGGGCGCGCGCACGTACCCGTCCACATGCTGTTGCTCCATGGGAACCAGGGAAGTACGGCGAAGCCCGGCGAACGGCGGGAGTCGCGGATCAATACGAATACCGGCGCTCATGCAGTAGCTAGCAGGATCTCGGACGGCAGAGCGGGCGAGGCGAGAAGTCTAGCGAGGGTGTGTGTTTGGCAGCACCGCGTCTCTCCTCTGCGCCCCTCGCGCCCGGCCCTCGGCCCGGCCTCGCCCCGTCACGGGGCGGCGAAGGAGCGGACCATGCCGTTGACCTGTGGGAAGGTTCCGAGAAGGCTCAGGGAGAGGTGGCGGCGCCGGAGCGGAGCCTGGAGCCTGTGGGTCACCTCGGCGGCGTACTTGAGGTGGATGTTGTGCTTGCCTGGAGGGCAGCAGGAGGGGGCGACAGGTGGAGGGGCAGGCGGAGGGGGAAGAGATGCAGCCGCCGGGTGCTAATCTCGGGCCATCTGGGGTCATCTCGGGTCATCTCGGGGCATCGCCACCGTCGGGGAAGACATGCAGCCGCGCGTCCGCCATGTTGTCTGCGAACCAGCGCGGGTGCTCGGAGAGGCAGATCGGGTCCTATCTCAAGGCAATCTCCAGGTCATCTCGAGATCATCGCGGGTGCTCGGAGAGGCAGATCGGGTCCTATCTCAAGGCAATCTCCAGGTCATCTCGAGGTCATCTCGGGTGCTCGGAGAGGCAGATCGGGTCCTATCTCAAGGCAATCTCCAGGTCATCTCGAGATCATCGCGGGTGCTCGGAGAGGCAGATCGGGTCCTCCTCTAAAGACACCAAGGGAAGAGGGGGGGGGAAGGGAGCGCGTCCGTGTGGTCGGCTCGCCGCGAGGAGAAGGCAAGGGCTGCGAGCACGGCTGAGTACAGCCGAGTGTGCAGCGCGGGATACAGCTTAGACTACAGCCGAGGCAACAGCCGAGTGCGGTTCCCTCCCGACTGCTGGCCGGACCTGGGCGAGCATGTGTGCCGCATCTACAGGGAGCGGCTCCTTCTCGCCGTGCAGGACGAGGGCGGGGCACTCCACCGCCCGCGCCTGCGCCATGCACACGTCGCCGCCCTTTGCGATGATGCCGAGCCACGCGTCCGTCGCTGCAGACCACATCGGCTGCAGGTCCTCGCCGTACACGGGCAGGTGCGTCTCGCGCATGCGCTTGGACCAGCCGCCGATGTCGCGCATCGCCTGCGAGGGGGAGGCGGGGGGGGGGGGGCGGCGGGCAGGAGGGGGCGGGAGGGTCGGCGAGGGGCAAGGGCTGCCTCTCAGGAGAGAGTGGCAGAGGTGCAGGAGAGCTGCCTCAAAGGCGTCCGCGTCGTCGGCGCCCATGTACGCGTTGCCGCCGAAGATGACGAGCCGCCGCACGGCCGCGCGCTGAGACGCGGCGAGCATCACCGCCGCGATCGCGCCGTCCGACCACCCCATCACCGCGTAGCGCTCGTGGCCGAGTGCCCGCATCACGGCCGCGGCGTCGTCGGCGTCGCGCTGGTAAAAGTCGGGCGGGAAGTCGCGCACGGGCGGACGCGACTGCCCGTACCCGCGTGGGTCGCACGAGACCACCTGGAACGAGTCGGACAGCTCGCGGAGCTGCGGGCCAAAGTCCGTCTCTGCGGTGCCTAGGCCGCCCGGCATGCAGAGCAGTGGTGGCAGAGACGCGTCGCCGCTCGTCACGACGTGAAGCTGGACGCCGTTGGCGGTCACCTTCTGCGCGCTAGTGCACAGGCCCCTCGCCGCGAGAGCTCGCGCTCCTCGCGTTGGGGCAGTGGAGGCGGCGGAGAGGCGTGACTGAAGTGCCGCCGCAGCATGGTGTAGTTGTGCGAAAAAGAATTCTCGCCAGCAGGGTGGGAGAAGGACAGGGTCCCCACCTGCAGGGCTGCACGAGCAGGATCTTGTAAGGACGATCAGGGACACAGGGGAACGGGAGCGGGGACCGGGGAGCGCATCGCGACACGGAGGGGGGCTGGGCAGGGTTCACGACCCACACGACAGGGTCCCAGGGATTCCTCTCTCGTATAGGACAGAAGACTTGTGTGTGAGAAATTTCTTTTTCTCGCCCCCCGCCTCGGCCAGCTTTGCACATGGCCTCCCACCGCATCGGTGCGCGCGTCGCGGGCCTCTCGCCAGAGCAGCTGTGCGCCATCATCGAGGCGCAGGCGGGCGCGAGCGACGCCGCGCTGCGCGTGGCGGAGGAGCACGCCGCTCGGCTCGTGGAGCAGCCCGAGTGGGTGCTCTCCGAGGTCCTCCTCTCGCCGGACCTCGCCCCGCACATCCTCGCCCAGCTGCCGACCAAGGAGCACGCCGCCAAGGGGACGTGCCGCGCGTGGCGCCGCGGCTGGAAGGAGACGCTGAAGAAGCGCAAGAGGCCGCGCCTGCTCGTGATCGGCGGCGAAGGCAGCGAGGGCGAGTTTGTCAACTCGCTGGAGCGGTACGACCCGTCAACGAATGAGTGGGAGGAGGAGGCTGTGGCGCCGATGTCTACAGCACGAGCGCATGTCCGCACGGCGGTGCTCGATGGCAAGCTCTACGCGGCGGGCGGCCTGAGTGAGGCCGACAACTTCGCAAATTCCAACCTGGTGGAGCGGTACGACTTGGCTACGAACGCGTGGGAGGCAGTGGCGCCGATGGCGACATCACGCGAGGGTCACGCCGTGGTGGTGCTCGACGGCAAGCTGTACGCTGCGGGCGGCTTCTGCAACGACCACGGTTTCCTCAGCTCGGTGGAGCGGTACGACCCGGCGGCGAACGCGTGGGAGGAGGTGGCGCCGATGGCGACGGCGCGGCAGGTTCCCGGCGTGGCGGTGCTCGACGGCAAGCTGTACGCTGTGGGCGGCTTCGACGACGGCTTCCTCAGCTCAGTCGAGCGGTACGACCCGGCGTTGGACGCGTGGGAGGCGGTTGCTCCGATGGCGTCGGCGCGGCTGGAACACGCCGTGGCGGTGCTCGACGGCAAGCTCTATGTCGCAGGCGGAATGGGTGCCGGCTACACCCACCTCAGCTCGGTGGAGCGGTACGACCCTGCGTTGGATGCGTGGGAGGCGGTGGCTCCGATGGCGACGGCGCGGTTTTCTCACGCCGCGGCGGTGCTCGACGGCAAGCTTTACGCTGTGGGCGGTCGCAACGACGACGGCTGGCTCACCTCGGAGGAGCGGTACGACGCGGCGACGAACGCTTGGGAGGAGGTGGCGCCGATGGCGACGGCACGGAGCGCGCCCTGGGTCGCCTTGCTGTAGAGGATGCCGTCCCTGCCCCCGCCTGCCGCATTTGCAAACACCTCTCGCCCACGGACATCGGACTCTGGTAGGGTGGAGATAGTCCTCGCTGAGAGACCATATCCCAGTTTGTTTGTGTGTGGAGTGTCGCAGAAAATTCATGCGCTTTTGTATATGGCCCAAGTGCGGTGGGCCGTCGCGCTGCCCGTCCGAGCTCCCCGACCTGCTCGGTCTACGGTGTCACCCTCTGCGCGCACCCCGGGCGCGTGTGTCCGCCGCCGGCGCCGCGTGCCGTCCGGGACCCGTCAACATGCCCCCCATGCCCCCCCCCATGCCGCCCCGAGCCCCCTCCCACCCTGCCCGCCCCCGCCCGCCCCTCAGCCTCACGCCACCTCTGCAAGCTTGACGTTGCGCCCCTCCCTCCAGCTCCGCTCCGCTGCGCGCGCGACGGCGCCGAGCAGCGCGTGCCTAACCACTCAGCACACAGGCTAGCACCGGCTACGTATGCAGCGCCCCTCCTCTCTTGGCCGAGCAGCGCGTGCCTCTCGACAAGCCGGTCCTCCTCCACGAGGAAGTGTCTAGGAAGTGTCTAGGAAGTGTCTAGGAAGTGTCTAGGAAGTGCCTCTCGACAAGCCGGTCCTCCTCCACGAGAGGGGGTCTAGGAAGTGTCTAGGAAGTGTCTAGGAAGTGTCTAGGAAGTGCCTCTCGACAAGCCGGTCCTCCTCCACGAGAGGGGGCTCGTTGCGCACCTGAGGCGTCGCGATCACCAGAGGCGGCTCGGGACCCCAACCTCACCAGTGCTCGGCCCAAAGGGGGGGGGGGGGGTTGCGCGCCATGTTGAGGAACTCTGTCAGCTCGACCGTGTACGTGTGCCGGTACCGCTCCGGGAAGGACCACTCGGTGCAGGGGCGGAGGTGCCTGGTCGTGATCACTCATGCTCACTCATTCATCCGGTCAGCTACCCACTCCGTGCTTGGTGGGGGGGGGGGGGGGCGGAGGCATCCCTGCGGCTGTGGCGAGCTCGACGGTGTGTCGCGACTCGTTCTGCGCAGTGAGCATGCCCCGCTCCCCAAACACCTGACATAATTACAGTCGGGAGTAACACATCCACACAATAGTGAGCATGGTGCCGCTCTCCAAACACCTCGACGCGCTGGTCGTAGCCGTAGGCGGCCACGCGGGACGAGTCGACCTAACTACTTCATTGTGATTAATTAATCAATCAATACTTAATTAGGCGGCCACGCTGGCACGAGGGTAAGCCACGCCGAACGCAAGGAAGCCGGGGAAGACGACCCCGAGGAGGACGAAACACCAGTGGAAATCCCGCCGTCAGCTGTCACGATATACCCGAAGGGAACCCCAGTGCCAACACCGACAGTTGAGGTACAAGTGCTCGAAACGAGAGTGGACCTGAGCAATGACATGACAGGGCGGGATATGCTCGCAGTGGGAGTCAGAAATGTGGTCCTTGCGCGAGGAATGCTCGATAAACTCGAGGGACCAAAATACGCGGAGAGCGGAGAGCGGAGTTACGCAGAAAGGCGAGAGAAGCAGCGAGAGCAAGAGATCGGCAGACGACAGCGGCGTCTCAGAACGAGGCCGAGGAGAGCGATGAGTCAGGGGAAGACGCGCGCGGTGAGGCGGCCGGGCGAGGGCGCGGCGGGTGACGGGGCAAGGGATCAGCCCACACCCGGCGTCGCTTTTTGAGCGACGCCTGTGGTACGCCTGCGCAGGGGCCGCAGGGCGGTCAGTGGTGGGGCGAGGCGGTCCGGCCGCGGGCCGGGTGCAAGGCGCCGGCCTCGGCGCCGCCTCGGCGCCGCCTCGGCGCGCCGCACGGGCGCGGCGAGCCTCTGAGCGGGAGCCGAAGGTTTGCCTGTGGGAGGGAGGGAGGGCGGTTGGTGGTGGGGTTGTTTGACTTTGGAGCAGAGGCCGTCTCTAGCTGTGAACAGCAAAACGAGACGGTATTCGCCCGTCGTCACCGCCTTTCACCACAAGTGCAATGTTTGTGCAAATGACGTCTTCGGCCGTGCCCGGGCCCCGAGCCCTCGGCTGCCCAGCCGCCCTGCCTAGCGCGTGGGCGGTGCTGGGTACGGTGGAGCCGTCGGTGAGCCTCGCTTGCCCGCCCTCCATGCCGTCGCCACCACCGCCGTCGCCTCCACCACCGCCTTCGCCGCTGCCGCCGTTACCGCCGCCGCCGCCGCCACCAACACCGCCATTCTTACCGTCGCCGCCGCCTTCGCTCTCGCCTTCCCCGTCGCTACCGCCGCCAGTCCCGTTGCCCCCTCCGCTGCAAACAATGTCTCCGCCATGCTTTGGTTGCCTCCACCCGCTCACCGCCGGCGCTGAATTCCCGAACGACTTGGCCATCGGTCCTCGTCTCGCCGACCCGAAGAGGGCCGACCCGGCCGACCTCTTCTCCGTCTCAAGTGGGTGCGCTGACTGGCGGCTCGCCTCCTTTGACCGCGCCGACTCCTCGCTGCTCGAGGACGGGCAGGGAGAGCTCGAGCGGGCGGACCAGGCGCTTGGCAACCCGCACTGCAATCGCCACGTTACCACGCCCCGCATTCGCTCACCTGTCGCTCCTCCCGCCTACCTCCCGCGCCGCGCAGCCACCCTGTCCTGCCCTAATTGCTCTGAGCGCCATTCGCTTCTATCACCCACTCGCGCCTCTTCCTGCCGCGCCTGACGGACGTCGCACGCGACCGCCTGTCCACAGGCCGAGAGCGATATGGCCGACATAGACACAGATGGCAGCGTTTCCTTGTCCTGCCTCGTGTGTGCCCTCATGATGGGGTGCCTACTCGCGCTTCTGAGCCGGTCGGCTTGGGCCAGCAAGGCCGGTCCAAAAAAGTGTCTACCACGCTTTGGTGGTAGTCGGCAGCGCACAACTAAGGTCCGTCCTCTCGCGAAATGCGGCCGGGTTTGGGTCTCCTTGCTGTTGCTCTCCTTCCTCCCGGGCTCGACTGGTGGCCCCATCAGCTATTACAATAGTCCGCCGCCGCCGCCCGAGCCGTCGCCAACATGCACACCAGCCAGCGATCTTTGACGCCGACTGGCCACTCGTGGTGTGGATGCGGATCGAGGACTTCCAGCGTGTCTCCCTCAAGAGGATCGCCGAGGTGATGCTGCTTCCATCAAATCTTGACAGCGGTGAGGCATTGGCTGACTGGAATGATACCCTTGGTCCGCAGGCGTTGCTGCTGCAGACACCAGCCTACGCGAAAGAAAAAAGCTTACCTCTCGCTGTGCCGGGTGAGGTGCAGGGCCAGAACCTTGGGTTTGCCAATCCAGTTCTGCTCTGGGCCTCGCGCGCCAACCCGGGCGCAAAAGATATGGCCGACGAGCTCGCTGCCGCGTTCACCAGACTCACCGTCTCGACCACGGACACGCCGGAGCGGGCGACCCACATGCTGCTCTATCTGAACCAGGACACGTGGTCGGACGAGAGACTAGCTGAGCAGGTGACGGCGGCCCGCGCAGCCAGCCTGCCGATTGTCATGGCTCACGAGAGCGACCCCATCCTCGGAGGCGGCCCGTTTGCCCGCCAATTCGAGATCACGCCGCAAGAGCTCATCTCGGGCGGCTTGTACCGCGACCTCGCCGTCTCGTGCTTCCCGGGGAATCACCGCGAGGCAGCCGAGATGTAGCCGAGAGTTCAGCAGGAAGTTCCTTGTGTGAGGCCGGGCTGCGTTGGGACTAGGTGTCGCGCTGTCTACTGGCAAAGGCGCTCGGCGCCAGGCCAGGCAAGGCGCGGGAGGCGTCCCTCCGCCGCAGCCTCTTCGTGCGCTTCTCCCGCACGACGTGTATGCCGGCTGAGCAGCAACCTGCAGAGGACGAGGACGAGATATCTCTAAGGCTGTAGCTTACAGCATTTGACCGGTGTACCTGTGTTAGTGCCAGTGCGCGCCAGTCCCGTGCCCAGTGTAAAAGAAAGAAAGAAAGAAAACACACAACCCAAGGGAGGGATGGGAGAACGGCACGCCGCCACCACACAGGGATTTTAAGGAGAGGAGTGTGGTGCGCTAGCCGTCGCCCACCCTGGGGAGTCTGCCTCTTCGTATCTCTTTTCGCAGTCTCTCGCCGCTTCTCGCTGCAACCTTCATGCCACCTCGCGGCCGTCCCACTCTCGTCGGTCTCTCCCTTGTCACTTCCTCCTCTGTCGCGTCGTTCTCTTCTGCCTCGTCCTGCGACGCCCAGTGTTGTGCGACGGAGTTGATTTTTTAAATTCTTTTTCTCGGAGCCTCTCTCCGAGACCTCTCCAGGGTTGTACATGGCCTCCCACCGCATCGGCGCGCGCGTCGCGGGCCTCTCGCCAGCGCAGCTGTGCGCCATCATCGAGGCGCAGGCGGGTGCGAGCGACGCCGCGCTGCGCGTGGCGGAGGAGCACGCCGCTCGGCTCGTGGAGCAGCCCGAGTGGGTGCTCTCCGAGGTCCTCCTCTCGCCGGACCTCGCCCCGCACATCCTCGCCCAGCTGCCGACCACGGAGCACGCCGCCAAGGGGACGTGCCGCGCGTGGCGCCGCGGCTGGAAGGAGACGCTCAAGAAGCGCAAGAGGCCGCGCCTGCTCGTGATCGGCGGCGAAGGCAGCGAGGGCGAGTTTGTCAACTCGCTGGAGCGGTACGACCCGTCAACGAATGAGTGGGAGGAGGAGGCTGTGGCGCCGATGCCTGCGGCACGAAAGTATGTCCGCACGGCGGTGCTCGATGGCAAGCTCTACGCTGTGGGCGGCGAGAGTGAGGCTGATGGCGAGGATGAGGATGGCGAGGCTGACCTCGCAACTTCCAGCCTGGTGGAGCGGTACGATTTGGCTACGAACGCGTGGGAGGCGTTGGCGCCGATGGCGGCGTCGCGGTTTTATCACGCCGTGGCGGTGCTCGACGGCAAGCTGTACGCCGTGGGCGGGTACGACGACGGCTTCCTCAGCTCAGTGGAGCGGTACGACCCCGCGACGAACGCGTGGGAGGCGGTGGCGCCGATGGCGACGGCGCGGCAGGTTCCCGGCGTGGCGGTGCTCGACGGCAAGCTGTACGCTGTGGGCGGCTACAACGACGGCTTCCTCAGCTCAGTCGAGCGGTACGACCCGGCGTTGGACGCGTGGGAGGCGGTTGCTCCGATGGCGTCGGCGCGGCTGGAACACGCCGTGGCGGTGCTTGACGGCAAGCTCTATGTCGCAGGCGGAATGGGTGCCGGCTACACCCACCTCAGCTCGGTGGAGCGGTACGACCCTGCGTTGGATGCGTGGGAGGCGGTGGCGCCGATGGCGACAGCGCGGCAGGCTCCCGCCGCGGCGGTGCTCGACGGCAAGCTTTATGCTGTGGGTGGGTACAACTATGAGGAGGAGGACGAGGAAGTGGAGGACGTCGTACGAATCAACAGGGTAGAACGATTCGACTCGTCTACGAACGCTTGGGAGGAGGTGGCGCCGATGGCGACGGCACGGAGCGCGCCCTGGGTCGCCTTGCTGTAGAGGATGCCGTCGGAGGCTCGGAGCCGTCCCTGCCGCATTTGCAAACACCTCTCGCCCACGGACTCTGGTAGGGTGGAGATAGTCCTCGCTGACCATATCCCACTTTGTTTGCTTTGTGTGTGGAGTGTCGCAGAAAATTCATGCGCTTTTGTATATGGCCCAAGTGCGGTGGGCCGTCGCGCTGCCCGTCCGAGCTCCCCGACACCTGTGCTCCGTCACCCTCTGCGCGCACCCCGGGCGCGTGTGTGCTGTGTCCGCCGCCGCGTGCCGTCCGGGACCCGTCAACATGCCCCCCATGCCCCCCCCCATGCCGCCCCGAGCCCCCTCCCACCCCGCCCGCCCCCGCCCGCCCCTCAGCCTCACGCCACCTCTGCAAGCTTGACGTTGCGCCCCTCCCTCCAGCTCCGCTCCGCTGCGCGCGCGACGGCGCCGAGCAGCGCGTGCCTAACCACTCAGCACACAGGCTAGCACCGGCTACGTATGCAGCGCCCCTCCTCTTTTGGCCGAGCAGCGCGTGCCTCTCGACAAGCCGGTCCTCCTCCACGAGGAAGTGTCTAGGAAGTGTCTAGGAAGTGTCTAGGAAGTGTCTAGGAAGTGTCTAGGAAGTGCCTCTCGACAAGCCGGTCCTCCTCGACGAGAGGGGGCTCGTTGCGCCCCTGAGGCGTCGCGATCACCAGAGGCGGCTGGGGACCCCAACCTCACCAGTGCTCGCCCCAAGGGGGGGGGGGGGGGGGGGTTGCGCGCCATGTTGAGGAACTCTGTCAGCTCGACCGTGTACGTGTGCCGGTACCGCTCCGGGAAGGACCACTCGGTGCAGGGGCGGAGGTGCCTGGTCGTGATCACTCATGCTCACTCACTCATCGGGTCAGCTACCCCCTCCGTCATTCCTGGGGGGGGGGGGGGGGGCGGAGGCATCCCTGCGGCTGTGGCGAGCTCGACGGTGTGTCGCGACTCGTTCTGCGCAGTAAGCATGCCCCGCTCCCCAAACACCTGACATAATTACAGTCGGGAGTAACACATCCACACAATAGTGAGCATGGTGCCGCTCTCCAAACACCTCGACGCGCTGGTCGTAGCCGTAGGCGGCCACGCGGGACGAGTCGACCTAACTACTTCATTGTGATTAATTAATCAATCAATCATTAATGAGGCGGCCACGCGGGACGAGTCGACCTGAGTCAGTCATCAGGTAGGCCTACGGCTCTGTGGCACTGCGCAAGCGGCCAAGCGTTGCGGCGGTACCGTCGCGAGCAAGCCGGAGGCGTACCTAGCGCCACCTCACTCGCGAGTGAGGTGGCGCTGCTGGGGTGACCGGTGTCGGGAATCGGCCGCGAGCAGGCCAGAGGCGCACAGCCAGCCGAGGGGAGGCGGAGCGGGGTGGGGGGCCCTGGTGTGCCGAGTGCTGGTGGCTGGCGAGGTGCTGCAGCGGTGGCTGCGGAGTGGCGGCTGGCGGAGGGGAGGGCGGGGGGGGGGGGGGGGGGAAAAAAAGGGGGGGGGAGGAGGGCGGGAGGCTGCGGCACCGCAACGTCACGACGACCGTATCGACGTCGTCGAGGGCGGCGATGGCGGGGTCATAGCAGTGTCCGACTGTGAACACCTGTTGTTGTGGTTGTGTCAAGACTTGTTGGTGTGTGAAGACCTGGGGCTCGCATCGAACATAGGACTCCTTGATGAGGCCGGGCAGGGGGGGGGGGGGGGCGAGAGGGCGAGGTGCGACGCCGAGGTGTGAAGACGCCGAGGTGTGAAGACCTCGTCGGGGATCTCGCTGGTGAGGGAGTGACTCATTAATAATTGAGACTGGGCGGCACCTCGTCGGGGATCTCGCTGGTGAGGAAGTGGATCATGTCGAAGTCGTGCGAGAGCATGTCGTGGAAGATGCCTGTCCTCAGCGGGAGGACGGGGGTGTGGAGAGCTCTTCACAGCGGGAGGGTGGGGAGGGGGATGTCGTGGAAGACGCCTCCGCTCGTGCGCAAGTACTCTTCGGGCGGGCGCGGGTTGTCGCGCGACGTGCACTTGATCACCCTCACGCCGTGGCGGCCTGCACCATCCCTTCATTAAGTAATGCGATGCCTTTAATTAATTAAGATCACCCTCACGCCGTGCCGGCCTGCACTGACTAATGATTGATAACTAATTGATAGTTAATTGTTAATTAATTGTTAATTAATCACCCTCACGCCGGTGCCGGCCTGCACCGAGTCAACCGCTTTACTTGGCCTGACTTGGCGCGGCTCTCTCCTCCTCTCTCCCGCCCCCTCTCTCCTCCCGCTCGCCCCACCTGGCTCGGACGAGAGGGCGCCATCGGCGATCAGATCGCGCAGCGCACCTACCGAGAGTGATCCCGGACGGCTGTTGGGCGGCTCCTGGCAGCCGCCAGCGGCACGGTGGCGCGGCGCGCGAAAGTTGCGGTCGCAGCGCCGCTGGTAGCCGACGAGGAAGGGCACCTGTTCGCAGCCTCCCTGTGTCGTTGCCTCCGGGCCCTCCTCTCTCCGCTTCGCCGCTGCAGCCGGCAGCGGCGCCCTGGCCGCCTTGGCGAGGCAGATGACCTCGTCGACCTGCGGCGGGGAGGAGAGCTCTCGGAGAGCGCTGCTCTCGCCGCACAGCCGCTGTGGCGGCGTGGCGGCGTGGCGGCGGCGCGGCGGCGCGGCGGCGCGGCGGCGGCGGCGGCGGCGGGTGTCGACGGCGGCGGCGGCGGCGGCGGCAGTCTTGCGGATTCCAGCCTTGCGGGTTCGGCTCTGCCGCACCTCTTCGGCGTGGTGCGAGATTGGCTTCTCGGTGAAGGTGGCCTTGGAGGCGGAGAGGGCGAGCTTGCACAGCCCGTAGTGCGTGTCTGTCGTCGAGGCGATGATGATTGCGTCGACGCGGCCCGCCAGCGCCACGTCAGCCATCACCTCCTCGAGGGTCGCCCTCGCGACGCAGTCGCTCGCCGCAAACTCGGTGGCGGTGCGCCGGGCGAGCTCGAGGTTGGTGTCGACCACGCACACCAGCTGCGCCACGCGCGCGCCCACGAAGCGAAGTGACTGCATGTGGAAGGCGCCGGCGCGGCCGAGGCCAACTAGGCAGATGCGCACGGGCGAGTCGAGCTGGGCGAGCGAGGCGGAGACGCCGACCGCCTTTGGCCCGTCGAGCTCATGGCAGCCAGAGCTGATGCGCTCCAGCAGGGCCTCGCGGTTCGAGAGGCGCTCGGGCTCCATGCGAGAGGCCTGCGGAGAGGAAGAAATCATTTGTGGAGCGGTCTGCAACATAACCAGGCTCGGCTTGATGGCTTCGAGGGGAAGGAACTTTGTAGGACAAAAACTAAAAGAAATCCAACGGGTCCCGCGCGCGCAGGCAGGACGTCGCGCCATGGCCTCGGCAGAGCTCGCGGTCGACAACAAGTCGGACCAGACGCCGCTGGCGCGAGAGCGGCAGCACGCGCAGGACGAGCGTGAGGGCCGTCTGCGCTTCGTCGTCGTCAAGAACGACGGCCTCGACCGCTCGCTCATCTCACTGATCGACATGAAGAGCATCTATTCGAAGCAGCTGCCAAAAATGGGGAAGGAGTACATCGTACGGCTCGTCCTCGACCGCTCGCACACCTCGCTCGCCTGCGTCTTTGAGGGCGAGATCGTGGGCGGCGTCACCTACCGGAGGCACGCGACGCAGGCGTTTGCAGAGATCGCCTTCTGCGCCGTCTCGGCGACGCACCAGGTGCGCGGGTACGGCACGCGGCTGATGAACCAGCTCAAGGAGCACTGCAAGCGCGAGGGGATCCACTTTCTTCTCACGTACGCCGACAACCACGCGATTGGCTACTTCCGCAAGCAGGGCTTCCAAAAGCAGGTGCGCGGACAGCCCTGCGGTCGGAGGCGTGCAGACGAGGGCTGGAGCGGGGCCAGGCACACCTCAGTCGAACACGCGCACGCCCTCAGGTGACGATGAAGCGCGAGCGGTGGCTGGGCTACATCAAGGACTACGACGGAGGCACGTTGATGGAGTGCGCCATCGACACGCAGGTGGACTACCTCAACAACCCAGACACTTCCGAGACACTTCCGAGACACTTCCGAGACACTTCCGAGACACTTCCGAGACACTTCCGAGACACTTCTTAGACACTTCTTAGACACGCAGGTGGACTACCTCAACATCCGCTTCGTCGCCGAGGAGCAGCGCCGCGCGATCGCGGAGCGGATGGAGGCGGGCGGCGCGCAGCAGCAGGAGGCGGAGTACGCGGGGTACGCCCCCTTGCGCGGGGGAGACTGCGGGCGGGAGGGGGACGTGACCGCGAGACATGTCCGGGACGTGTCGCGCAGGTACGACCCGGCGGAGGGAGGGGTGCCGGCCGGGCTGCAGGGGACGTCCTGGCGGGAGAGCGCGCTGCACTGCTCCATGCAAGGCAAGCCAGTCCCGCTCGCCGACTGCCTGCAGGCGACCTTTACCCCTCACCCTTGACCCTCACCCTCACCCTCACCCTCACCCTCACCCTCACCCTCACCCTCACCCTCACCCGAACCCGAACCCGAACCCGAACCCGAACCCGAACCCGAACCCGAACCCGAACCCTAACCCTAACCCTGACCCTCTCGCTATCCCGAACCCGACCCTCCCCCCCATCCCGAACCCATCCCCCCTCCCCAAGCCCCTCGCCGACTGCCTGCAGGCAGTGCTTGCAGAGGTTGCCACACACGCCGACGCGTGGCCCTTCCAGACGGCCGTCTCCACCTCGCTCGCGCCCGACTACTACGAGGCGGCAGACTAGCCGAGAGTCGCCGCGACTTGCCGGGATGAACTCGCCCCCGCTGGCGCCAGCCGCTGGTCACGCGCCCAGTGGAGGGCCATCTCGGGCCATCTCGGGCCATCTCATCTCGGGCCATCTCGGGTGATCTCGGGTGATCTCGGGTGATCGATCACGGGGTCATCTCGGGCCGCATCTCTGGCCATCTCGGGGTGATCTCGAGTCATCTCGGGTGATCGTGGGGTCATCGCGGGCCGCATCTCGGGCCGTCTCGGGCCATCTCGCTCCCTCAAGTGTCAAGGACCCGGTGGACTTGTGTCATCGAATCGAATCGAATCGAATCTCGCTCCCCCAGGTGATCAAGGACCCGGTGGACTTGGCGTCGGTGCGGGCGAGGCTCACGCCGCGGGCGGGCGCACCTCCACACTACAACTCGCTCGACCAGCTCCTAGACCCTTCCGAGACAGTTCCTAGACACTTCCTAGGCGCACCTCCACACTACAACTCGCTCGAGCAGTTCCTCGCCGACCTGCTGCGCATGTGCGAAAACTGCCGCGTGTACAACGGCGACAACAACGAGTACTACGACTGCGCGGTCCGGCTGGAGGCGTTCGTCCGGAAGAAGGTCGGAGAGGTGAGCGTGAGCCGCGTGCCGGCGGACGGGACGCGGCCAGAGAGCGGTGGATGACAAAGAGCGCGCCGGCCGCCGCGCTCGCCGCTCGTGCGGTCGTGGTGGCGCGCTCTGAGACCTCTGAAAGGCTCTGTGCCTCTGTCCGTATCTGGCGTGTCTCGCCGCACATTCCGATTGGTCTATGATTGCTGCCGTGACCGCTAGAGCTAGAGCCGTAGCTGTGGGCGCCCGGGCCCCACACACCCCACTGAGCACTGTCGCACAGTTATCAGTTTATTTCGAAGCCTCAGTTTCAGGTTCTCCACGCGATTCGAAAAAGACAGACATGGAATGAGAAGATCACGACTTGAGCCGCCTTCCCGATGCCCCACACACCGCGCACTCTTGAGAGGACACTGAACACACACGCGGCCTCACGGGGGCGCACGCTCTCGCTCTCTCTCCCCTCGACAATGTTACAGGGCTGCACTCTGCGTCGGCAACAGCACTCTCCGCGCACTCTCTCCCGCTCCCCCTCCGCCCTCTCTCCCCCCCTCCCCTCCCTCCTCCACCATGCGTACGAGCCACCACCGCCGAGCGCGTCGAGCGCGGGCGTCGGCGGTTTCGGCCAAAATTGCTCTGCTTCTGAGGGGCCTGGCCAGGCGCAGCGGTGGGCTAGTCGCCTGCTCTCTCCGGCGCGCTACAAGCGCCGCCGGAGGAGAAGAAGGAGCTTCTCTCGCTGCTCTCCCGCCCCGAGGAAGACGGAGGGGTCTTCCGCACGTAAAAGGCGGGCGGCGGCATAGGCGAAACCGGCCCCGGCAGAGGGCTCGCAGGGCTGGCGTGCGAGTAGGGCGGCGGCGCCCCGGGAGGAGGCGAGCCGCCGAGCTCAAAGAGCGAGGAGGCGCCTCCTGCTCCGGCCGGACCCAAGCCATGGTAGTATGCTGCCGGCGCCGAGTGCGCCGCTGTGCCAAAGCCGGGCTCGAACGACGACGCCATCGCAGGCATCTCCCGCGGCACGGAGGCGCGGCCGAGGGAACCCGGGATGGCGAGCGGAGAGGAGCGCATCGCGGCTGACGCGGCGAACGAGCGGGGCGAGCCCGGCGCAACCGGGAGGCCGGAGCCGCCGCTCGCCTTTGCTAGCCGCATCTTCTCGAGCGTCGACTGCCGGATCTGAAGCACCGTCGAGCGCTGGTCCTCAGGCATGGCGGTCAGCTCATCGTCGGAGAGCGAGAGGATCTGCACAACCTTGCGCAGCTGCGAGCGAGATCGGGGAGGGCGGACGCCGTCGGACGGGCGGGATGGGTGGCGGGCGCAAGCCTGGGCCTCTACAGGGCTCGCCTGCTCGACGTCCTTGCCCTCGGCGCCGCTGCCCTTGGCGCGGATGCATGCGACTAAACCGCGGATGCACTGCCGCGTCTCCTCGTCGGCGGAGCTCGATGGACGAGCCGCCATGCGCCGCGTCGCGTGGGCAGCGTCGTCGGTGCGACGTTCCAGCCTCGGTTTACGTGGCACTTCAAGATGAGCACGATCCATAGGGTCGATTGCGCATGGTACGGGACCCCTCGGTCTCGCCCTCCCTCACTGGTTGTTCATTGGGGGGGGTCATAACAACGTCGGCGGCGATGGCGGTGTGACCAGACTGCCGCGCGTCCGCCGGCCGGAGAGGTGGGCGTGGAGCGAGGCGAGGTGGCCGGCGGCGATGTCGGCGAGCAGCGTGGCGGGCGGGCTCGCGGCGGACGCCATGTCAGCGAGTCGCCGCGTCGTCACGGCGCCCGCCAGAGAGCGCCTCGGCGGTGCGAGAGAGATTTTTACGCGCGATTATCTGCGAATTTCTTTAAAAATCTTTCGCCTGCTGTATAATATTGTGTTAGGGTCCTAACTCGGCTCTGAGGGCCGAATAAAAGTGATTTAGGTTACCTCTACCTCTGAGGGCCTGCCGCCTGCGGCCCTCTTACCTTTACCTGAGGCCCCCACCTCTACCACTACCTACGCCCCCGCCCTCAGAGCCGGACCTAAAACCGCCAGGAGAAATAGCAAAAACAAAAAGAAACTCCAAGCGCTCCAAAAAAAGAAGGCGTTCCACCTTACTGGTCGCTTTCGCTCCTGGTCGCTGTCGGACCGCGCTCGAGGACATGAAGAGCACTAACACAGGTACACCACGGCGGCTTGCCGAGGCGCCGATGTGAGTGTTCGCCCAGCGCCGCGACCAGTACTCGAGTAGTGCCTCGGCCTCAGCGCGCCACCGCGTGCGGCAGCACGTGCTCGCGCCACACGTCGGACAGCGCGCTCCAGTCCGGGCGCGCCTCGGCGCCGTCGGGCGGAGAGAACGCGATCTGGTGGCCGATCGAGGTTGGGTTGGGTGTTTTCAGTGCGTTTCAAGCGTTCCAGCCTGTGGCAGAACACTTCGCTGCGTGCGTGCGTGCGTGTGTGCGGGGCGCGGCAGCCAGCAACAGAGCCTCGGCTACGGACCTGCGCGAGCGCGACACAAAGCGGGTCGATCGAGGCAGAGGCAGGGGGGGGGGGGGGGGCTTGCTCCGCGCACGCCGCACCACCATTCATGAGCTGAGCGCCCCCTCGATGCGGACGAGCGAGGGTACTGCACATCGAAATACGACCCCGAGTATAGCCAAGTTGTGAGGACTTGGTGTAGATGCTGGAGATGGCGACGCCGCAGACCTGCGCGAGCGGCGCGTGGAAGAGGGCCGAGGCTGGGAGGGAGAGGGGGGGGGTAACGCGGGGCTGCGTCCCGAGCGGCAGGCGCGAGGGGGGGAGTGCCGCGCGTGCCGAGGAGGTGCTAGCTCCGGCGGTGGTGGCGTCGTCGGCGATGGAATCGGCGACGTGGAGATCGGTGTGACGGTCAGCAGTGGCCGAGACGTTGGCGATCAAGACGGCGGCGATGAATCGGCGGCGAAGATGTCGACGGCAAGGGCAGCCGTCGGCGGTGAGCGCTGCCGACGTGGTGTTTCGACGAGAAGAAGAGCTTTTGGTTGCCGCCGTAGTAGTTTTGTCGAGTTTTACCCGGCACCGCGGAGACCATCGTGTGCGCGCACCAGTCGGCACGGTTGCCCCAGTCGCGGGAGTGTCTCGAGGGGAGCGTGAGCCCGCGCGTCGACCCGGGCGCTGGGCGGGGATCAGGGGCGTGTAGCATCTAGGCGATGGCTTGCGCCGGCGGACCTGCCGAGTCGCCTATGGGAGAGCTTTTGCGCGTCAGATGCCCCGCTGAGCAACGGGAGGCAGCCAGCGGGGGCGGGCGTCGTCAGAGCACCTCCATTCTTTGAGAGGTGGGGGGGAACGGAAGGCTTAGGCAGCGTGTAAATTTTTTTAAGGATGACGCTCTCGTGTGGGTGAACCCTGCCCAGCTCCCCTCCGTGTCGCGATGCGCTCCCCACTCCCGTTCCCCTGTGTCAATCGTGATCAGTCCCGCTATGGATATGCCCAACCCACAAAATGAATACGCATCGCCTTATGCTCTGGTTTCGGGTGCGTAATCTGGTGCGTAGACAGGCGCAGTTATCAAAATACAGCAGATATGAAGGCCGGCCCTCACCCCGGACCTGCTCCCAGCGCATATTTTCCTTCAAAAACAGTACAGAATACTTCAATGTTGGCCCTGCCCCGCACTTACGCAGCATAATTTTACCAATTCAGGCCCATCGACGACCGCGTTACGCATGACGTATCATGTATCCGCATACGTACCCCTTCCTGGCGCCAGCCACAGCCTGGAGGCGCTGACGTACTACGTATACGCATTATGTTTCTGCACTCGCCAAAACGCCCGCGAGACGATTGCCTGGCCAATGATTTCAGGCGCGATGATCCTGCCTTGTGATAATCCAAATCGAATCCCAATTGTCAAACTCGCGAAAATCTACCAGGGTAGTGCGTCCGCTGCATGATGGCCCCGCTGCGGACCGCGTCGTCAGACTCAGAGGGCGTTGTGCTGATCCCAGCCATCACCAAGAACAGCACGACTGGCTTCAAGAACGTGAACTACAACCGCGGCAATAAGAAGTTCGTGGCGCAGGTGAAGGATGGCGGCAAGCGTGTCCACCTCGGCTACTTCAACACCGCCGAAGAGGCGGCCGTCGCCTACGCTCGGTCAGAGTACGGCCGCGCCGACGCCGCCAAGCTGCTGCAGCCCCGCCCCGCTCCCACTCCCGCTGGCGCCGAGGCGATACAGCAGGCGGAGAGGGAGGGCCTGACTCTGGTCGCCAGTAGCAGCAGCAACACCGGCTACAAAGGCGTCTGCTACCGCCAGAAGCATCAAGGCAGCCAGAAGTACGAGCTGAAGGTGAGGGACGGCTGCAAGCAAGTCCGCCTCGGCCTTTTCGCCACCGCCGAGGAGGCGGCGCTCTTCTACGCCCGCAGGGAGGCGGGCATGGACACGCTCGCCAGCGATCTCATTGCGCCGCCGCCGCCGCCGCCGCCGTCCTCAACCTTTGGGGAGCTGCCAGTGTACGAGCTCAGCATTCTGACGCCTGAGCAAATGGCCGCCAATACGACATATGTCCCCCGTCCAATTTGGACTATAGTCGAGCGCGTCGGAGAGGTGTTTGGAGACAGGCTCATGATTATGCAGCAGCCCTAGCGGCAGCGCCAACTTATGGCAGCCCTAGCGGCAGCGCCAGTGCGCGCACATAAAGGGGGGGGGGGGGGGGGGCGCCTGCTCTTTGGCATGCGGGGCGCCGCTCCGTCGGCACCGCACGCCCGCAAGCGTGAACACGTAACCGCGCGATCCGAGCTGGAGCGCCGCTTCGCACATTACTTGCGCGCCGTGATCTTGCGCACGCCAAGAGTGGCGGCGCCCGTGACGGCCACGGCAGCGGCGACCTCGAGCGACGAGATTGGCTCGACCACCTTTGGTCGAGCGACGAAGCGAAAGTGGGCGACGGGGGGTGGGGAGGAGTGGGGACAAGTGAGATACAGCTTGGGACGGCGGGAGAGGGCTCACCTCGCCATCGATGTAGTGCATCGGCTTGGGGTTCACGGCCGCCACGACGAGGCGGCCGAGACAGGGGCAGACCGCCTCGACGAGCGGGACGAGGTACTTGTTGCGCGCGACGACAGCCGCGCTGTTGTACGAGGTCGCGACGCCGTCGACGACCGGCCAACCGCCGTGCTTGGTGAGCGGGCTGTGCAGCCCGTCGGCCACGACCTTGGTTATCTTGAGGACGGGCGCCTGGCAGGAGGGGGGGGGGGGGGCTCGCATCGGGAGAGGCAGGTGTGTGTGTGTGTGGTGTGGGGGTATGGACGCGCCTGCACGAGCGTGCCCGCGGCCGGCGACGCGAGCCAGATCGTCTCTCCGACGGCAACCTCGGACGCCTGCTTGAGCGCCTTTGCCGGGCCGGCGGGCAGCTTGTGCGTCGGGGTGAGCGTGACCGTCGCCGTCGCGGTGGCGAGCGAGAGGAAAGCCGCCTTGGCGGACGGGTCGGCCAGCGAAAAGGAGGAGACGAAGTCGAAGCCGAGGGTGCCTAGTGAAGTAAGCGACTGTGAAACAGATGAAAACGCTCTCACGCCATCGAAAGCGAGGGTGCCGTCGGCCGCCGCAGCGAGGATCGAGTCGCCGGCGGAGAGGGAGGAGAGGGGGGCGGTAGCGCCGTCGGCGCGCTGGACCGTCGCAGAGCTCGGGAAGCACGGCGGGTCCGAGGCGGACGGCGACGGCGGCGACGGCGAGGCGGAGGGAGGCGGCGGCGACGGCGAGGCGGACGGCGGCGGCGGCGACGGCGAGGCCGACGGAGGCGGCGGCGACGGCGACGCGGACGGAGGCGGCGGCGACGGCGAGGCGGAGGGAGGCGGCGGCGACGGCGAGGCGGAGGGAGGCGGCGGCGACGGCGAGGCGGAGGGAGGCGGCGGCGACGGCGAGGCGGAAGGAGGCGGCGGCGACGGCGAGGCGGAGGGCGGCGGCGGCGACGGCGAGGCGGAGGGAGGCGGCGGCAGCGCGTACTGCACGTTTGGCGAGACGGTGGACTGGCCGACGTCGTTGCGACCCCAGCACTCCGCGAGCGAGGTGTCCTTCCGGATGCCGCAGGTGTGGAGGTAGCCCGCCGAGATCTGCGTGTACTGCACGTTGCGAGAC